TTATGGCGGGGTGGGAGGTTGAGGCAAATCGCCTGGCCGCTGATTACGCGCAGCCAGACACCAGGGCGGTTAGAGGAGCACAGCAGGGCGCGGTGCGCATCAGAGAAGCGTTGAAAACCAGTTTTGTGACTGGCCAGGCTACGGAGTGAAACTTCTGTTTGTTGCTCCTTGATGAACCCTCTGCCCCTCCCCCACCACCCTGTTAACTCTACTTCCCTGCAAACCAACCACCCCACCCTCCCCCACTACCCTCCCCCCTTCGAGCACCACTTGCAGAGGCAATAAAGTCATTGTTGCTTCACATTCATGCATTCTTTATTAATTCAGCACACAACTAGGGGGATAATTGGAAAGGTAGCCCGGGATGGGTGGGGGAGGAGGGAAGGAAAAGGACACACTCCAATTTAAAACTTTAAAACTTATTGCTATGGAAATCATCTAGGGTGGAGTGAGTGGGTGGCCGAAGGCCCCCCCACCGTGTTCTTGGGCGTCTGGGTGAGGAGGCAATGGGACTTGGGGAGGATGGCTGCTGGTTACAGAGGGGCTGTAGCGGCGGTCTCTGCTCCTGCTGCCTTTCCTGCAGCTCAACCATACGCAGGAGCATATCACTTTGATGCTCCAGCAGCCGGAGCATCGACTCTTGCTTTCTGATTACAAGTTGACGCCACCTCTCCTCTTCAGCCCGCGTTTCAGCACGCAACTTCTCCTCTTCAGCCCGCGATTCAGCACGCCACCTCTCCTCTCGCTCATATTGGGCTTTTTTAAAATCAGTCATTGACTGCCTCCACGCATTCAGCTGTGCTCTGTCAGCGTGGGAGGCAGTCTGAAGTTCAGTAAACATTTCGTCACGCGTCCTTCGCTTCCTTCTTCGAATATTCACTAGCCTCTGCGAAGGAGTAAGATTTGCAGCTGGTGGAGAAGGGAGAGGTTGTTAAAAAAGATACATTTTAGAGAACAATGGGTAGACTCTTTCACGTTAGATTTTTCTGTTCACAACATCACACAGCACATGTGCTTTCGTTACAAGGTCGCATTTTTCCTCTTATATTGAGAGTCTCCTGGTTTGGTGTGAGAGATCACTCACGCAGTGCCAGGACACAGATTTCAGCTTGCAGGCAGCCATGGTAAGACATATAGTCTTTGGGCTTTTTTAACCTTCTTAACATGTGGGGATGGTTTCAAACAGTTCTGCCCTCATTTCCCATACCAAGCACCCGTGCCATTTAAAATGGGTTTGCAATGTAAAAGGAGGGGCTGCGATTTCAGGTTTAACATGCAGCACAAACCCAACTAACTCCCCTCCCCCTCACACCCAATTCTCTGGGATGGTCACTTCAACCCTCCCCCCCACCGCGTGGTTAACAGCGGGGAATATTTCTGTTCAGCAGACCAGGAAGGGGCACCTCTGAATGTCCCCTTAATAAAATTGCCCCATTTTAACCAGGTGACCGTGAATGATATCACTCTCCTGAGGATAACAAAGAGTGATAAGGAATGGATGTTGTCTGCATGCCAGCAAACACCGGGACCATACGCTGCCATGCTTTGTTATGCAATGATTCCAGACTACGTGCTACTGGCCTGGCGTGGTAAAGTGTCCTACCATGGCGGACGGGATAAGGCAGCCCTCCCCAGAAACCTTTTGCAAAGGCTTTGGGATTACATGAAGGAGAGCTTTCTAGAGATGTCCCTGGAGGATTTCCGCTCCATCCCCATACACGTTAACAGACTTTTCCAGTAGCTGTACTGGCCGCGATTGCCAGGGCAAATTAATCATTAATCATTAAACACGCTTGTTTTTAAGCCATGTGTAATATTTACAAAGGTACACTCACCAGAGGTCCCCTGTGTGCCCTCAGGGTCTTGGGTCAGTTCGGGGGTTACTGTTTCCAGGTCCAGGGTGACAAACATATCCTGGCTGTTGGGGTAACTGGTTTCTCCGCTTCCTTGCTGCTGTGAGCTATCTATGTTCTCTCCATCCTCATCTTCCTCGTCCGCCGAACCCGCTTCCCCGTTTGCAGAGAGGGACTCATAGAACACGCTTGGGCTAGTGGTGGCTGCACCCCCTAGAATGGCATGCAGCTCCGCGTAGTAGCGGCATGTTTGCGGCTCTGCCCCGGACCTTCCGTTTGCGTCTCTGACTTTGTGGTAGGCTTGCCTTAGCTCCTTAATTTTCACGCGGCACTGCCGCGCGTCCCTGTTATGGCCTCTGTCCTTCATGGCCTTGGAGATCTTTTCTAATGTTTTGCCGTTTCTTTTACTGTTTCGGAGTTCGGCGAGCACTGCTTCATCTCCCCAGATGGCGATCAGATCCTGTACCTCCCGTTCGGTCCAGGCTGGAGCTCTTCTGCGATCCTGGGACTGGGACTGGGACTCCATCACGGTTACCTGTGCTGATGGGCTCTGCATGGTCACCTGTGCTCTCCACGCTGAGCAAACAGGAAATGAAATTCAAACGTTCGCGGGGCTTTTCCTGTCTACCTGGCCAGTGCATCTGAGATGAGAGTGCTGTCCAGAGCGGTCACAATGAAGCACTGTGGGATAGCTCCCGGAGGCCAGTAATGTCGAATTCCGTCCACACTAGCCCAATTCCGACCCCCTAAGGTCGATTTTATCGCTAATCCCCTTGTCGAGGTGGTGTTAGGAAACCGGTTTAAAGGGCCCTTTAAGTCGACAGAAAGGGCTTCGTAGTGTAAACGTGTCCAGGCTTAAGTCGATTTAACGCTGCTAAAGTCGACCTAAACTCGTAGTGTAGACCAGGCCTCACTGTATCACTGCACCACTCAGTTTCTCCCTCCCCAAAGGGGAGCTAATGACATTTCTCCCCCCCCCCCCATTTTCAAGTGTGTTGGGCTTGCCGGACGTAAGGAGCTGCATCAGCAACATAGCATTAGTACTCTCCGAGGCAGAGCAATTGCAGGGCAGATGCAGAACTCCACAGGCCCCGGCTTAAATGCCTGTGACCCTAACCGGTTTGACTTTAATGCAGACAAAAATGTGTCCCTCCTTCTGTTACTACATGATCGTCTGCAAGGGCACTTCCTATCTCCCTCCCATCCTTGACTTGTTGCGGGACTTTTCTTTAGCGGGAAATCTCAGCCCTGGCTGAACGTTGCCCAGTTCTAGACTTCTGAAACAGCGGATACTCTGTTACTTCGCTATCAACTGCTGAGAGCTCGGAATGCCGTTCCATCTCTTTGGCTCAGTGCCTCCGGGTTAGCCCTGCAGTTGTTTTCAGCTCCGTTCCCAGGAAGCAGAGCACGGAGCTGGCCCTTAGGGATAGCTCTGGGACGGCCGGGGTTTTAGAGTCACTTACTGAAATGTTTTCAAGCAGGACCCAAAGGGATAGGAGCTGGAAGCTGCTCAGGTTTCAGTGGGACCCATCAGCAAAGCACTCACAGGGAGCTGTCAGCAGGCACTGGCTCCATAACTGATGCTGAAGAAAGTGGAGCTGGAGAGAGAGGAAGGAACAGTATAAAGAGGGTTTTGCTGGAGGCTCAGAGTCAGATGGGAGGAGTCATTAGATCCAGCGAGGGAGACTTCTAAACAGCTGCTGTGAGCTTTTAATTAGAATTTGAACCTACACTGCAGAGTTTGAACCCAGCTCTAAACTCTCCCTGGCTTTATGTACAAGCATTTTAAGGCCTGCAGCATCTGGGGCACTTCACATACATTAACAAATTAACCCCCACAGCATTCCTCTAAGAGAGGGAATTTGCACTATCCCCTTTTACATGTGGGGAAACGGAGGCCTCAAGCAATGAAATGACTTGCCAGGGTTACACAAGAATTCTGTGTCAGAGCTGGGCTGGAACCCAAATCTTCCATGTCCCAGGCTGATGTCCGACAAGCTGGTTTGGGTGTCTCAGAATTTACTGCCAAGTATAATACTCTGCTGGACTTCCTGAGGTTTGAATTGGCTCTCCTTGAGCCAGCACCTCCCAGCAGTGACTGACAGGGACTCCAGGACAAAGTCAGCCTGGGCAAAGTGGGAAGTCTCTGGGAACTGAGCCCACTTGCACAAGAATTCATCTGTTTCTAGTTAGGTGGATTTTCTCCATATTTCACTCCTTTTGTTTCTCTCTCTTGGGTGCTTCATTCCACCATTTTCTCTCCTTCTTTATACTGCAGTAGCATCTGGAGTATCTGCGCATCCTACTTGTCCCCTTCCCTTCTTCCTCCATCCCTTCTTCTTCTCCTCATACCCCCCCCCACCCTCACATGTCCCTCCCTCCTGCAGTATAGGAGCCCTCCCCAGCCCTTGCTCTGCTCTTATAGGGGATCAGCGTGCTGCGAGGAGCCAACTGGAAGCTCTTTGGACTTGGAGCAAACCTAGCAGTGGGAGTGGGAAGGGGGCTAGGAGTATCACTGTGGACGGCTCCAGCCCCTATGCACCCATGGAGCATCTGCGGGAGCCCCGGCACTGAACTGGAGGGTCAGAGATGTTTGTAAGATTTAATTGCAAAACATTTAAAAAGCCACAATGTCATGATTACATCTCTGTCCCATCTCCCTTCCTAGAGGCCTGTAAATGGAGCTAAAGCTCTTCCCAGAATCTATTCCCAGTGGGCACAGAAATCCAGGTCATGTTCTTCTCCTCTTCCAGAACGTGCCCAGAATCTACACCATGTGCACACAGAATTCCATTTGAAGAACCTCCCCCCGCCCCCATTCAACCCAGAATCTACCCCACAGAATCATGGAAATCCTTTTTTTTGTTCTTACCCTAACGGCCAGTGGATGATCAGATCAAGGGAGTCTTTTCCCTTACTGACGTAAGAGAAGCAGGAGACCAGGGGGGAGGGGGAGGCGCGGTATCAGGAGAGTTGGGTTTTATTCTTGTGTGACCAGGGACAATCACAGGGGAATTCCAAACTAAATCATATTGTGCACTCAGAACAAGTGGAGCTTTGTTCCTCCAGCCACTAGGGTAAAACCTAAGACAGAACAACTTGTCCATCCTTGATTCCTTTCCTGATGCTTGTTTGGTTGCTTTATAGGGCCCCTCTGCAGCATCTTGGTGGAGCGATTTGGCTGCAGGTTCACTGTGATGCTCGGTGGCCTACTCAGTGGAGTGGGCATGGTTGCCAGCTCCTTTTCCAAGTCCATCAGCCAGCTCTACATAACAGCCGGCTTCATTACTGGTGAGTACCAAGTTCGGGCATGAAAAAGAAATCACTATGGTTGGTATTTGGATGTAGCTAGTGTCCAGGGAGGAATGAGTGCATAGGTTCCTTCCCTCGTCTGACAAACAGGAAAGATCAGAAGAATCGCAGCGCAGTAGGATTAATGTCCTGAATAGCCAGTATCCTTCTCCACTCCCCTTTATTCCACCCATTGTTCAGCTGGGTTCCCTGGGAACTGCTTCTCCTGTGAGCCGCACAGGGCTATGGGTCACAAATGGGGACAATCAGTAAAAAAAATGACTACCACTTTTAGAAGCTGGCTGGTGATTTATTTTTGAGGAGCAGGGAGGGAGCATATATCCCATACAGCGCAACAAATTTTTCAGACCCTCATTTCACTGGAACTGGAATGGGGTGTGTTGGGGGAAAATGTTATCCAGATGGATTGTGTGTGTGTCCACATTTCACTCCTCCCAATTTACAGAGGGATGGAGACACCTTTTTTTTAAGAACAAACATAATAATGTGGTGGGGTTTTGTACAGAAGTAATAAAAATGGGAACTTGCCAGAAGCTGGAAATGAGCAACAGGGGACAGATCACTTGCTGATTACCTGTTCTGTTCATTCCCTCTGAAGCATCTGGCAATGGCCACTGTCGGAAGGCAGGATACTGGGCTAGAGTCCAAAGAAGAGCAACAAAAATTATTAAAGGTCTAGAAAACATGACCTAAGAGGGAAGATTGAAAAAATTGGGTTTGTTTAGTTTGGAAAACAAAAGACAGAGGGGACATGACAACAGTTTTCAAGTACAAGTATGTAAAAGGTTGTTACAAGGAGGAGGAAGAAAAATAGTTTTTCTTAATCTCTGAAGATAGGACAAAAAGCAATGGTCTTAAATTGCAGCAAGGGAGGTTTAGGTTGGATATTAGGAAGCGGTTAAGCACTGGAATAAATTACCTATGGAGATTGTGGAATCTCCATCATTGGAGATTTTTAAGAGCAGGTTAGACAAACACCTGTCAGAAATGGTCTAGATAATTAGTCCTGCCACGAGTGCAGAGGACTGGACTAGATGACCTCTCAAGGTCTCCTCCAGTTCTATGATTCTAGATGGACCTTTGGTCTGACCCAGTATGGCCATTCTTATGTTCACTTCTCCCCTTCTCAATAGCTCTTATGGAGGTGGTGTTGGACTCTTGCTCTCTTGTAACATAAAACAATGAATTTCTGCAGCCAGATCACCTTGGGATTTGATCCTATGGGATCTCACAAGCACAGCAAGGTTAGAATTGGTCAATGCTTGGATGGGAGACCTACAAACAACTCCCTAGTACTGTTGAGGATTCAGTAAGCATCACTCTTCTCTCTGAACCCCTAGTGAACCAATACCTCAAAATGGTGTTGTGGCGGCACAGAGCTGCTGCTGCATGAGATGTAAAATGGAAGTCATGGCCACTTCTGGTCATTAACAATCCCATAGCAATTGTAGCAAGAATAGGGTATCTTGGACACCTCTCAGTTTAGATATGTACGCTCAGCCGAAGGCTGCCTGCAGCTTCATCTAGGGTACAGCCTTCAACTTCACCTCCCATCCTGAACTATCAAGTAGCATTTCTGTGTGCTGCTGTAGAGGTGACATCCTGCACTGCAGAAGGAGAAGTACTTCAGTGGTGGAAGAAGGGGTGCTTGGGTCACTGGGGTCTTTCCAGCCAAAAAGCACTGTACAGAAATAAGATGTTGCTTTTTTTTTTTTTTTTTTAAGGCCTAGGATCCTGTTTTGGCTTCCAGGCAGGAGTGACTGTGCTGGGCTACTACTTTGTCCGCCGACGGGCCTTGGCCAATGCCCTAGCATCCACCGGTGCCTCCATCGGCCTCACGCTGTGGCCATTGATCTCTCAGTACCTGTTGGATGAGATGGGCTGGAGAAACACTTTCCTCATCTTTGGCGGGGTGCTGTTGAACGCTTGTGTCTGTGGGGCTGTGATGAGGCCAGTCCAGCTTGGGCCTCCCAGGTCACCGCTGCAGCCCAGCCCTGGACAGGAGCCAGGCAACTCAGCTGAAGATGCACAGATGTCCAACGGAGCCACCCCTCATCAGGTGGAGCCCCCGCAGCAGGCCAGGTTTGCTGCTTGCAAGCGGACGCTGCAGAAGTACCTGGCTTTTGATATCTTCTGCAAAAACAAAGGTTACCAGATTTACACCATTGGCGTGGCCTGGATGGTGATGGGCTTTGTGCTGCCCCTCATCTACCTGGTGCCTTATGCCATCCGGAACGGGGTGGAGGAGCGCAAGGCCGCCCTCCTTATCTCCGTCATCGGCTTCATTAACATCTTCATGCGCCCCATGGCTGGGCTGCTTTCAGGACTCAATATCTTCACCGGGAAGCGGATTTACCTCTTTAGCCTGGCCGTGCTGCTCAATGGGCTCAGCAACCTCATCTGCGTCATCTCAGCCGACTTCAGCGTGCTCATCCTCTACTGCCTCATCTACAGCATATCCATGAGTGGCATTGGGGCGCTGATCTTCCAGGTGCTGATGGATGTGGTGGAGATGGACAGGTTCTCAAGTGCCTTAGGCCTCTTCACCATCCTGGAGAGCGTCACCATCCTCCTCGGACCCCCACTCGCAGGTGAGAGTACAAAAATGTTATTGGAGACCCGTTGACAGCAAACTGGGGAAAGGACAGGGGGTATTAGGCCTCTGATGACAGACACTGGGGAATGTAACAGGGAGGGAATGAGGAGCTATCAAACCCCCATGGGCAATGGGGTAGGGAGCACCATTAACAGGAGAGTCAGAAGGGAGTTATCAGCCCGTATTCACAGGTGGCTTAAGAGCTGAGGAGATCATGATCTGTAAGCACCTATATTGGGAACGAAAGATTAATAATAAAGGGCTCTTCAATCTAGGAGACAAAGGTGTAACAAGATCCAATGTCTGGAAATTGAAGCTAGACAAATCAGACTGGAAAATACAGTATAAATTAACCATGGGAACCATTTACTCAGTCTCCCTCTTGATAGTCATTGGAGTTATTTTTTGTGTTATACTGCAATAGTCTATGCAGAAATGACAGAGACAAGGACAGAGACACCTAGTGGTGTTGAGCCCCTCCAGTAAAGTGGGAGTTCACCTAGGTGTCTTATCAGTATCTCTGCCCCTTCTGTGTAACGTACTGTGGTACAACCCAGCAAATAACTCAGATGGCTGACTATCCAGAGGAAAACTCGGTACTGACTATGAATCCCAGGCTTAGGATCTGACTCCCGACTCAGTAGGAAGTGGGTGTGCTATGGAGAGGACGCGGATATACCCAGGGAGTGAATTTTGTGTTGTTCTGCAGCAGCCCATGCTGGCAGTGCCGGCTCCAGGCACCAGCGAAGGAAGCAGGTGCTTGGGGCAGCCAATGAAAAGGGGCGGCTCGTCCGGGTCTTCAGCAGCAATTCGGCAGCGGGTCCCTCAGTCCCTCCCGGAGTGAAGGACCCGCCACCGAATTGCCATAGAAGAATGAAGCGGTGCAGCTGAGCTGCCGCCGAAGTGCCGCCGATCACAGCTTTATCTTCCCCCTATCCCCTCCCCTTTGCTGCTTGGGGCGGAAAAAAACCTGGAGCCGGTCCTGCACGCTGGATGCACAGAAGTAGCAATAACGGATTCTGAGGACACAGATATTCTCCAATGGTGCCATAGATACAAAGCTGCGCACAGAGTCATCGATTCAGTATGACAGCAACCAGAACATGCTGCTGCTTCAAGGCTGAATTTAATCTCTTGAACAGGTTGCCCCACCTGGAAGGGCCTGAAAGGGGCCCAGCCAGTGGTTAGATCAGAGTAGGATGGTGTAGGATTGAAGAGACTTTGAGAGTTTGGGTGGGATACGCCAGCCACAGAAAAATCAAGAGTTGACAGCCAGTCCATTAATGCTGCACTGGTATGAGCCTCATGCCATTCTGCCCCGTGCCTTATAACCCTCCTAACGCTGGTGAAATGCCAGCCTGCCTCTGCCTAGGCTTATCAGGATGCCTTTCTCTCACTGACCTCACTTCCCTCTTCCCTTTACATATCTGGCACATGTCCATGCTATTTTATACTGCCTTGTACTGTATCATTCCCCACTGTACAAGTGGAGCTCCAGCTGTAAGTGACAGGAACACAGCGTTCAGCAGGGCAGGCCTGCAAACTCTGGGGCCATTCTAATAAGGGGATGATAATATCTCTTGTATGTCTCTGTCTCCCAGGAGCGTTCGGAGACTTATAGCATCCATGTTTGTTATTTGCTTGGAGATCTTCCGATGGGAGGTGCTGCAACAGGGCACAGCCTTATTACTGTTAATAAAATAGTAGGAATATATTTACTTTTACTCTTTATACCTATACACTGCGCACCTGTACTGGCACTTTATACCAGTACAAGGAGAAATCCTTACGAAGGGTGTCAGTAATTAAGATGTTAGCATTTAATGCATGCAAGTAATGAACATTACTGCAGAATTCTCCCCACCACACACACGAGCGTATAGGAACATCTTACATACCAGCTGAATACTGCCTGATCTAAGTCTTTCTTTCCATGCCTAGTTTCTGGGAGGGTTAATTATTTGCACACAATAAATATCAACATTTTAATGGTCAGTATTGCTAACAACCCTTCAAGAAGGCTTTATATTTTTACAGCACTTTAAGAGCATTGGTTAGCGAATATCTGTTGCTCTGCAAAGTTTCCCCATCCTGACCGAGCCATTTTAAAGTGTTTGCAGCATAGAGGCCAAACCAAGTTAATCTGTACAGACCGCTATCTTACTTGCTTTGTCCTCTGATCTCAAGTGTTCACAGGGCAACACATTCCACTATTCGGTGACTATCAGCAGCAAGGGTTAGGGGACCCCAGTTGCAGAAACAAAACAAAAATGAATTGTGTGAAATGGAAACTGGGTTGCCCTCCACCTCTTCGTGGCCTCTTGTGGAGCAAACATTCAATGGCAACAGCAGAAAGCAGAGCCAAGCTGTGTGTACTAATAGCCCTAAGACCACACAAAGAACTTAATCCATGTGTGGACAATGAGCGTTGGCCTGGTTCAGACAGGAAACAGACCAAGCCTTTTTGGGGCTATTTCAGAGCAGTATTTGCTATAAGTGCTATTTCGGGGGGGGGGGGAAGGGGACATACAACCTGCAGTAGCCATTACGCCACATCCTTACTTAGTTAATTTCTTCATTCTTCCTCCCCCCCAAAGGGGATGTCCACACTGCACCTGGGAGCATGCCTCCCAGCCCGGCAGACTCATACAGATCAGCTCAAGCTAGCGCACTAAAAAATAGCAGCATGCCATTGCAGCACTGGCAGAGGCTTGGACTAAGCCCCTGAGCTTGGACCCACCTGGCCCTGAGTCTGACGTCAGGTCGCTAGCCAGAGCCTCCGCCAATCCCATGCTTCTAAATTAAGATAAACTGCATGAATCTGTCTAGCCAGGCTTGCTCCCAGCTGCAGTGTAGACCAATGCCCACAGGCTGTGATTATATCAGCTTCCAGTATCCATATAGTCTGGCATTCTGCTCGGAAGAGGTATCACCACTTTGTCCTACCATGCTGGGTAGCACTCCTGTGTGCTATTAAACAGCTGCTTTGTTCCACTTCACAGGCAGCTGCATTTCAGTGGTGGGTGAACTGAGTGCTGTGTATGTGGCAGTTTGTGAACTGCGTGGGTCCCTGGGGACTATATCAATGTAAGATACTATTCTTTGGTGTGCAACTTTGCTCTGGCTGAGCTCTGATTCTCTTTCAGGTCTTCTGGTGGATATAACTGGCCACTTCAGTTATGTCTTCTATGCCTCCAGCTTCTTCATGGTGTCAGCTGCGCTCTTCATGGGTCTCAGCTTCTGTGCTTTAGACAGAAAGAACAAACTGAAAGAGGCTCTGAAGCCAACCTCCAATAGCCCCTCCAGATACCAATACACTGAAGTGCCAACTAACCCAGAGCTTGAAAAACAAGCCCCTCCTGCCGTCATGTACATCACAAGCATCTGAACGAAAGGAACTCTTAGAATTCTGTGGCAAACACAACCGCAGCATGTAGCGTAACTGGAGGCAGATGGGGGGGGGAAATGCCTGCTTTCCACAATAACCCATCTGCCTCCTGCAGTGAGCATCTACTCAGCAGCGCTGCCTCAGATTCCAGATGGGCGATCCAGATCAGAGGCAGAGCCCAAAGCCTTGCAACAGCCAGAAAGCCAAAGAACAAGGAGCACTTCTTATACCTGGTGCAAGCCCATAAGGCAAGGATAGTAGTTCTGTGATTTAACATGTGTGTGACTTTAAGCTAATAGAATTAAATTGACAGTGACTTTTTTTTTTTTATAAAAAGGCTGTACATTTTTTATATATTTCAATTTTAAAGACTGGAAAGATTTATTAGGTTATGCACTACAATGATTCCTGACACAGCGACATCAGTCGGTCCTGGAAGAGTTAAAATACCACTGAATCGCCTTGTCTGGACATGCCAACCTAGCAAAGACTAACTTTGCAGTGAAGTCATCTGGTTGCCTCCCATGCGGAGCAGGGAAAACCCCTTTCCTGGAGGATGTGTTGCTGCTTTCTTCCGTCTCCGGATATTGCATGGAATATTACACAGGTTGTAGAACCCAGGCTAGTGCCTGCTATCAGTTGTGTGTAGGCCAAATGAATTTTTTACATGCTAGTAACCAAATCATTCCTGCATTTCAAGGGCATTTTCAGGAAAATAAAGGTTCAAATCCAAAGCCCCAATCAAACTGGACAGACTCAAAGTGCCTACATTTTATAGCCTGTGCCATGATGTCTTAAGTTCTCTCCTCTTCACCTTTACCAAGGTGTGCTGCAAGAAAGAATCTGACAGTTCACGGCCAGTGTAAATGCACTAAGAAACAGAGAGAATGAGTGGCAAATACAAGGATGGACATTTTTTCGTTTCAGCACTAGTCCAGGACCAGTACTTTGAAAAATGTACCGGGCCTGAAAGCAATTGCACTAGTCCAGATATAGGGCTAAGTTCAGAGTCAGGGTAAGCTAGACTCTGTTACACTCAGAGGGCCAGATCCTCATCTTATGTAAATGGAGGTAGCTCCTCATCCAGACTCTCAGACTTAATTACACCCATTTTCCAGTACAAAAGGGAGTCTACGCTGGTGTCATTTACATGCCAAAGAGTCAGAAGAAATTGGGGCGGGGAGGTGTGGGGGAAATTTAGTTTTACTTACACACTCCTGTTAGTGGTCTTTCTTGCTACATTCCTGTTTTGTGGCCTTAGCATGTGAGTTATACCAGCTTGAACTCCCTTTGGTCCCTTAGTGAACCAAATTCAGAGATGAGGGGTAAGCTAAATGTGGGTGTAAGTTACATGTTGGTAAATGGGTTGTCCCCATATAAATGGAAAAGAGTCTAAAGGACATCTAAGATGGTGTAACACGGAAGAAGCTATAATTGTACCAGCTTAGACTCTTCTCTGGATGTGGCCCAAGATACCAGCTATCATAATGCACATAAAATACATTTTTGCTTTTATTCTGCTTCAGTTCTGAAATGACTAACAGCAGATCTCTCACAGAACGTTGGAGGTGGAGATTAATGTTTTAAACGCTTTGAAAGATGGAAGTTTAAGATGCCTTCAGAAAGTAGAAGCGTTGGCTTCTAGCTTTAGTGGTTACCAAGATAACAGATACTGAAGTCATGTTATAATTCTAATGAAAAAAACAGCTGCTAGTTAAAATGATGTGATTATGAGGTTCCAACCTGACAAGCCTAGAAACAAATGCATTAAACCACTAGAAAGCTGAGCCTCCAGACTATAAATGCATTCATATCTAACCATTATGGTTTGCGAGGATCCCACCATCTAGCAGTGCCTTTTTTGACAATGGTCCAACACACTTTGCCTTCCTTTGTCAAATATATCCTTAAATAAGATTACAGTTGGGAGATGTTTATATGCAGCTATGTGCTTTTAAAGAAATGTCTTATCTCTAGTCATATGTATTTAGTAACTTGTGTAAAGCCTATGTGGCCAGCAACCACAAAGCAAACAGCTGGGACTGTTTTCACTCAGTTTGGTTATACACAAGCACTCTTTGATCCTTAAGGAAATGTACAGTTTTTCTCCTCCATCAGAACAAACCAATAAGAAGGGTGAGAGTCTCAGACCTGTTCTAACTTTTGTGAATAAAGGAGCTAGGCAGCAGCATGTGTGGAGTTTGGTTTTTTTTGTACATGATCCCTAAATTTTAAATTCAGTTCAGTGGTTTGTGTTTCCTGCCACTCCTTCCTAACCTTTTCTTCTCCCACAGAGATGGAGTCAACTGATCTCCACTTACCTCAAGGTCCCCTGTTGTAATGAATGTCCTAACCAAGGAGGACAGGATGTGGACCCCTCAAAATTGCTCCTAAATTAGACAGAATAGTCACTTGAAGGAGCAATGGAAGGCATCTCCCTCCCTTTCAAGAACTGACTGTACTGCATCTATAGTGCTACTAGTCATGGCTCGCTCAAACAAGGGAACGAACAGTATGATGCATGCTGCTCCCCACATGATAAAGAAAAAGAACTAACATTTCACAAACTCAGAAAACTGACAGACAGTGATCACTTCTTCCACTACTGAAAAGAAACTTGGGGATGGACGTAAATAGAGCATACCTAAGCAGCAACATTACACAACAGTTTAGGGAAGAGAGTGAAGATACATTTATCCAGAAACAAGTACAGGGAATTGTGTTTTGCTACTCTACTCCTAAATTACAAGGACAGCGCCCTAGTTTTTGTTTGGATTGGCTTTCATACAGGTTGAGACATTTTTCTAGTAAGGAAAAAATAGAATTTATAGAGTTAAGAGATGGCATATTAAATTCATGATTGGTAACTGACTCAGCTCCTTACTGTGCTGCCATGTGAGATCAGGCTTCATGTCTCTTCTTTGTGGATTAATAGGGCCAGGGATCACAGCTCTTCTTGGATTTTGGCTGATGGCTAGATTGTAAAGGTGAAACAATAGCTCTTGTCCTCCTCCCCCATCATTAATCCACATCCCTTCTGCCTCTTTTCTCAACCTAGACTATAAGCTCCTCTGGGCTGGGTCCTTGTATTTATTCGTAAAGGGCCATGCACACTGATGATGCAATAGGAATAATTAAAAAATGCCCCCTTGGAGCGATACAGCAGAACAGTAAGATTAGAACTCAAGCCCTGAGGGCCTTGAGGTCATAAGAAAATAAGGTAACAAAGATTTCTTTCATTCGATTTAAGGTTACCCAATTATGCAATGCAGCTGCAGCTTAACTACCCCCTCTCCCCCGAAGCACAACTGGTTTCTACCGACTTCCTAAAGACAGGAAAGTGAAATCAGTTTGAATTATATCCAAACATTATTACCTCAGCCAGGTTATAAACCACTGAGCACTGGCAGAGCAGGCAAAATTGTCCAGAAATAAATCCACATCTTCCAGCCCCCTGATCCCATTGTCACTGCAGGTCTCATCCACTCTTACAGGCTAAGCACTTTTGCAATAAGCCTGTTTGTTTATTGCTATGACATACAGATTAGGAGTTCAGACGTAAGAATATTTCATGATTATGATCAAATTTAACATTCTCATAGATATTTAAACAATGTACCCATTGCTGTGGTCCTGTAACAATGGGTATTGCAATCAGATCCTTACAACACAACCTATTGAGTTTAGGCACCCATCACTGTGATATCTAAGCATCAAATCCTTAATGAGCATATGCCTGTTATAACCTAAAACTCACTGAATTTCAGCTCTGGTAGCCTACCAGCAGAAACCAGGTCCACGGGTACAGATCCTCAGTTGTAAATGCTCTGTTAGCAATATTATCCCAGTAGATGTTAATGATCCTGTCAACTACCTTGTACTTTGCACATTTGGACGTTTAGAGAACATACCCAACAACTATAAGTAAACAGCCAGCACAGAGCATCAGAGTGACATGTTCATAGAGGACCACTCTGCACCAGCTGAAGCTGACAAATGGTCTTCAAGTGTAAGCAAGTCAAGCTCATTGCTGTAAGCTAGCCTGAAGGTGATAAGCACCTGGATTGCCCCAAAAAGGGTCCTGTCACAGAGTACTAGTGTGGTCTGTGAATTGCCTCCCACAATTGCTATGTAAACCTCGCAAGACTCACAAGCCAGGAGGACACAATTAACTCACCTCCACACAGCTCCTCCTTATTAAATGCAAAAAGCACTCCCACACCTTCTGGCCAACTTGGGTTTATGCTGAAGCAAGACTACGGACAGAGGAAACAGAACTAGCAGGTCTCAAAAAGACAAGCAAAGTTGGGTTTCTCCTGATATTATGGATGGTTTGTTGCCTTATTTCCCCACCAGTCTTGCAGTGAATAGCATGAACTGAACAGTGTGCCCCTACAGTACGCATGTTCAGCTTCAGCTAATGGACACAAGCCATTTCCACAAACCCTGTTCCTTGGGCAAAACCAATATGTGCCACAGGGCAATGTTCCTTCTAATTGTGTGCGCAGAATTACAGGCTGACTGAGCACAGATTTAATACTTCTGAGTGCAGCTCCTTCATCCCTATTCACCCTCTCAGCATGTTTCCTCTTCATCCCCTACATTCAGTCTAACTCTTCTTAATCATTTCTCTCGGTCTTCCCTCAATCCTTCTCCATCTCTCTCCCCTCATTCACATACTCTTCCCACCCACCCCTCCACATTCAAACACTGGCTAGTTCCCCTGCACTTACTGTCTTCCCCCCAACTCCATTTACAGATGGGTAGGGCTTGAAAATACTACAACTACTATCTTAAGGACACAAGCCAAGTGGACACTAGAAAAAAGGCTAGATGGTATACTATAATAGCAAACCCTCCTAGTGTAGATGCTGCTTATACAATCAAAAGTGTGCTTTTGCTGGTTTCCCTTATACCAGTTCCCTGAGTGAAATAAGCTATGCTGGCAAAAGCACGTTTATGCTGGTATAACTGCAGTGGTTATAGAGTAGGGTTTTTGCCAATATAGAAGTGTCATTACAAACATAAATAAATAAATCAATCATGCCACTACCCAACAGCTCCACTGACAAAAGTTTCTAGTGCAAACCTGGCCTACGCCTACAAGCTTAGGTGAAAATACCTGCACTTTAACACACACACATAGCCACACCCCTATAATTTTAAAATGATTGGGTGCTGTTTGGGTGCTGCATTTAATTGTAGCTCCTAGGCTAAGTCTTGTCTACTGAAGCTGCACTGGTTTAACTTGAATTGGTTTAAAACTCAATTTAACTAACTAGTGTAAACCTGTGTGGGCACTCATCAGTTTAAGACTGTTTATATCAAATTTAGCTCACACCTGTAACTTTACAAGTAATACAAATAAATAAAATATAAATAAGTAAATAATATAGGTGTAAGCTAAACAGACACAAGCCAGATTTAAGTCCATTTAAGAGTGTTCGGCTGGCACCAGTTTAAGTAAACTGGTTTAGAATCACACCTTTGGTTAAACCTGTGCAACTTTGCATTTAGACCAGGACATTGTACTCCTGGCATAGAGTTATCTCCTGTCCTTTTGCTAGATGTTCCTCCCCCTCCTGGCTTCATTCCACTTTTCCTTTCCTTTTATAAAGCATGTATCTTGCTGTACATGTGCTGTTCCCTCTTTTCATTCTCTTTCCCTCCACTTTGCCCTTTTCCTCTTTCTTTCCTTACTTTATTTTCTGTTCTCTATCATCTCCTGTATGTTTTCTCTCTCCTTTCTTCTCCCAAGGGTCTCAAAACTTTATTCCCACACATGCACTCTTTTCTTTTACCGCTGTTTTGCAACATAGCATGTCTAATAATTTACCAGAGTAAACAAACCCAAAAGGGGTGGATGAACAGATTCCATTTGAGTCCAGAGTAGGTATGAAATTTGTTGTCCGTGTCTACAAGAAGGCTGGTCAACACAGGTACAGCCTGGAATGAACCTGTTTGCCCTCCTAGTAGCAGGCTGAATTCAGGACACTGGACTAGATGGACTACTGGTCTGACCAAGTATGGCCATTCTTCTGAATGCAGATATTACAGCAGTTTGGGGAAGTAGGATGGGACAGGGGATTTTAAAAATATTGTTGTACGGAAATACAAAGTTAATGAGCGAAAGCCTTATGTGTGGGTAACTCTTCATCGCATGGGGGAAGTTTAGGCCCTTCCTAAAGCAAAGAAAAGGCTCCTACCCAAGGTTCTCTACTACAGGAAGAGTTAGACATTATGGTATTTGTTTATTTATATCTGTAATTTCAAGGGAGAGTGGTCCCTTCATTTTTCAGCATAAAATATACAGAAGAAAACATTCCAATTAACAGTAAGAAGCCTGCTGTGAATGCCATTCAGAGCAATAAATAACCAGTGGGTTGTACCTAGAGATTGGTCATTTTATGCCTAATTTAAGCTCATCAGTCACTCTTAAAGATGACTTATCAGACAGAAGTTGTGGTTAAAGTCTTATTTGGTGGTGTGCATCACTATCATGGCAGAAACAACATATTACAAAAATCACTTTAGATAAGATATACAATGTTGTTACAGTGAAGAGATCCAGAAGAATTCTGGACACCTCACACCCTACCTGGCAATTAGCCCAGGTATATTACCACCTGTCAGTTATTTTAGCACTTATATAGCACCATTCATCCAAGGATCTCAGAATGCTTCATATAAGTGGGCAAGCATTATTACCCCACTGTACAAATAGGAAAGCTGAGGCACAGAGGGTTTTTCTTGATTAGGAAAAGTGGTCAAGTTCAGATCAGGCTTGGCTAATACAGGTTAGCAAAACCTGACTTTTTTTTCCCCCCTAGTGTAGATGCCGGGTAACATCTTCTAGGCTACAATTTGACTAGCTAAAGGTGTCTAAACTAGGAAAAGGGTCAAATTTAGGTTAGGCTCAGCTAGCACATTAGCTAAGTCCAATCTAAACTCAACTACTTTTCCTAGCGGAGACAACCCCAGAGAGGTTGAATATCTTGCCCAACATCACACAAAGCAGATCACTGGCAGAGCTAGGAATTGAACCCACACCTCCAGACTGTCAGAGCCCTGATCTGACTAATAGACCATGATACCACCTGGTAGATATTTGAAGCCATCACTTATGCATATCAAGCAAGTTGAGGGAGGAAAGTCACCAGCCAACATCCCTGCCAGGTTGATGGAAACTTCACCCAGTCCACGTGAGCCGTGTGCCATGGACAAGAGTTGTATACATACATTCTTCACTTCCCAACACAGCTCCCCATGCCCACTGAAGGAGCAGGCTCCCTGGAGCAGAGCCTCTCCTTCCTATCGCAGACTACGGGGAAGCTTTCCTCTCTGCCAGCTCAGCCAGCTGCTTCTGGCGCCTCTCCACCACAACTTGGCGCTTCTTCTCATAGCGCTCGTACTCCCTGGCACGGAGCTCCTCCACCTCGGGGAAGAAGCGGTGCCTGAGACAGAGAAAGATGGTCACTGCAGTGAAGTGAGGGCCCCTGCCCAAATCCACCACACACAGCTGAGCCCCCCCAATCCCTGCCAAGGTCCCCAGCACCCTCCACCCAGCTGAGTCCCCCCACAATCCCTGCCAGCCAAGGCCCCCAGTGCCCCCCCCAATCCCTGCCGGCCAAGGCCCCC